CGCACGCACGCACACACACACACACAGACACACAAAACACACGCTTTCAGTGTGAAATACAAGGAATAGAATGCAATCTTTGCAGCGCCCAGGAGGATGGACTTTTACACAGACGGTACAATTTGGAAATGTCTGCCTTTCCATTGCAACACATTGAAAATGATAGATGAGGCTCCCAAATGACTGTTTTTGTCTTGTGAGTCATGCCACATGGATTTGAATGTATCCACAGCACTACTATCTCATTCCCACAAGCGAAACAAGGTCATCAAACTGCACCCTTTCACCGAGAGGAAGACGGCTGAACTTTGATTGAGTCTTTGTTTCACAGAGGTGCATCAAACACACACCCATCATCACATATTAGGTGCACACACCTCTGCACATAATCAACAAGTTTTATTAATATTGAGCCAACATTTAATGTGGGATTAGCCAAGAGTTATCTCTTACACACCCTGAGATTTAGCATAAGATTGTGCAAAACATCCTATGAGCAAAATGACCACAGTTTTTCAACATAAACTGTTTTGAGTTGAAAACTCGGGCACAAAAGACAGCGGAGGCCATGCATTCTTTCGAGGAATGCTAGACTTTTCATTTTAATTAACACATTTTGATGCTATGGTAAGCAAAAACATGTTTCTGGTCATGGCCGCTCTTCAGCTCTTGGCCAGCTCCGCCGAGCAGACGCATGACTTCATGCTCTGTAAAATTCACCTGATTCTCTTTCAAGGCACTGAACCATTTTTCGAGGCATCCTGGCAGCATAACTGCATGATGCATCACGCTTTAGTGCTGTACTTAGGCACAGATGTACTCTGGGTAATGAACTGTAGCGTGCCCCCCCCCTCCCCCATCTGCCCTATTTTTTGGGGGTTATTACTTCAGCTTCTCTGCACACATCTTCATATGTTTGTCATTGATGGCAAGTGATCAGACTGAAAAGAAATAACTTTATTGTGAGCAAAAGCAGCAACAGTAACTATAGGTTTGTACCCATGAATTACATACTCTCTGAACTGTCAGCTGTAAAAGTGGCTGAATAAAAGTTTCACATCTAGCTGCACTTCAGGGATGGGGCTTATGAAATATTGGAGTATTTGGAACTCACAGTAATACCTTTTGGACTATTAGTTATGTTTGCACATGGTTTCACCTGCCAACATTCTAGTCATTTTACTTAGGAACTGGGAGAAAAACCTCTGGAGTTATTGCATTGATTTTACATCACCACTGTTCAAACTCTTCCTTCAAGCTGGCACCATAAAATGTCTTTAGGAGGAAGAAAAGAAGAAGAAAAATAATTCGGCAACTTGATGTAATTTGCATGTTAAAAATTGTACAACCCCAATTCCTATGAAGTTGGGACATTGTGTGAAAACAAATAAAAACAGAACATGATTTGCAAATCCTTTTCAACCCATAGAATACACTCCAAAAGATAAGATATTTCATATTCAAACTGTCATGGTCTGCATCTGTGTGGGTGAGTGTGTCTGTTCTGTGAGTGATTTTTGGATACTCCTTATCCTTCATGTCTTCTGGTTTCTGTAACTCCCTGTTCAGCTCCTTCTGCCTGTCTCTGCTTCAGCCCCGCCCACACTCACCTGCTCCTCATGTTTCTTTCCCAGGTGTTTCTTGTTCCATCTCGTTAGTCCCTCTTTATATTCTATTCTCTGTCCTCAGTCTGGTGTCATTGCTTTGTTTGTATGATCGTCTCCAAAGTTCCTACGTATGTCTCCATAGTCAGTGTGTTGCCTTCCATGTTACCTGGTCATGTTTCAAGATTGTGTAGTAAGTACTTTTTATTAAAGGGCCAGTATTATGTGTTTCTCAGGCATATATTTAAATATTATACCATAATAAAGTATATATGTCACCTTTATGTGAGGATTGGTGGAGGAACAGACCCAGGGCGCAGGCAGGTTCAAAAAGGAACAAAAAGACTTATTAAATAACAGAAAATGCTGTTGTGGCAGCTCAAAAACAATTTACACTTTCTCAAAAACGCAGGCACGAGGGAGACAAAGCTCAGGAACAAAACACAACAATGATCCGACACAAGACTGAGACAGGACAGGGCTTAAATACACTGACAACTAATGAACGAACAGAAAACACCTGGGGAGAGACACGAGGGTGATCATCAAGGTGATGTGGGGCAGCTGAGCAGAGACACACAGGGGAGCATAGAAAACACTAGGAAAACCAAGGAAAATGAATACAGACTATGACACTTTAGTTGTTATTAAAATGCTGTTTTTATGTTTAAATAGAAAATAAACTTATCTTCTCACCACTTCCTCTTCTAAACGCCTTGAAATTGGCCTCTGTCTCTTTAAGAACCTCCTTCTGCTTCTGTTCCGTCCYGTTCAGTTAGTGGGGGTTGCGTGTGCGCTACAATACAGTTTACTTAGCATCTGAATATACATTTCCTCAAAGGTATTTTTAATCTGAAAAGAGCTTYACTGAGTGAGAAGTAATGTTGAGAGCTCAGCAGACAGTTAGGTTTCACTTTTYAAATGCTGATTGGCTGTCACTGTATGACATCATCAATAAAAAGCAGYCCCAGGCTCTGTTCTGTGTTTTAAGTTTCACTTTCTGTTTGTGCCAGATGAAGGCGAKCTGCAGCTCTGGCAGATATTGTCAGATCAMCACCAAAATKTATTAAGTTMTTTGTGACAACCCCAACTTGCCCTAAAAATCCGTTTGTAACTACATGAGTAAACTTGTGCACAGACAGATGAACGAAAACATAACCTCCATGGCGGAGGTAATAATGAACATCCAATGATTACTTTCTTAGAATTTAATTAAAATCTWCCCCCCTGGTTGGTTAGATAATTCACTGACAAATACACACAGGGCATACTTTTATTCACATCTCATCCAACCACTTCAGAGTATTGGGAAAAAGTCAGAGAAAAATGAAAATACCCGTGGAAACAAAACCAGTAAATCACAGTGGATACAGRCCGTTAGTAGTGACATCACATCGAGCATGTGAACTTTTAGGACTCTGCTTCGCTGCAGCTCAGGCTCAGTAAAGATTTTACACAAAAAGAAATTCCAACATTTGTTCTCATCCGTTCCCATTATCAGCTCCTTGTACAAGTCAGCAAATCTATTGTGTTTCCTGACAGACTGCAAGGAAAGGAGAATTCAGATAGCAGAGCAGGGACAGAGCCGAGGCAGGAAGATGCATTGCTCTTGTCTCTCTGGGCCTCAAACTATTTATCCGTGAGGCAAAAGGTCCRTTGTATCTGCAGAATTGACGGCTCTGTCAGTTTGCGTGTATGAAACCGTTTCCGTTTTTTGGTGGCATGGGCTTTTTTTTTCTACTACCGGTATATATTTATATATATATTGCAGTAGGCAAAAAAATCCCTCTGCCCACAGCTAAAACACTGAGATGGATGTCGGTGGATCTCTGTTAAGTTTGTACACCAGACTGGTGTGATAGGCAGAACATGTCAGAAACTCGGTTTCTTTGACATTTGGATGTTTTAGTCAGGTTTCAGTCTGCTAATGTGCACAGATGTATAACACCATATACTCACACCTAAACAGAGATCGGTCAACCAACAACAAAATCCTGCTGCCAGTTTCTTTAATCTGTCTACTTTTTGGGTCAAGACTGATGAAGTCACCTTTTAMTATAATTTTTCTCCAAGTGGCAAAATGTTTATTTTCTGTTCGTAAAATATCTCATGAACTACAAGATTGTAATGAAATGATCAAAAACCACTGGGTCTACATCTACAATAGATTAATTTTTGTGGTCTACCCGATTCAAGATGGCTGCCACAGTTAACGGATTATAGGAAACACAGCTAAGTGAGATAAAAACATAATAGGGTATAACTTAGTTTTACAGATATTGAGCTAAATGTGRTGCGGTSGCTGAGAGTTATCTCCAACTTCAAGCACCACTCAACATTTTAAAACTCTCATACTAATAACCAAATATACATTACATCTGCAACCAATTATTTACTAAGTATAAATTTGATGTGAATTAAAGCTTTATAAATGTCATTTGCAGCACATACTCTTAGCTCTAACAGAGCTCACATTACAACAAATGATATAAACCAAACTTTAGTCATTTTGGTCAAATCCTGAAATAGTTTTATAGTTCCACAAGATGTGAAACAGCCAATCAGTGACAACTTTATGTCGGACATCTTTTTCTTACTCATACTCTTGTAGAAGATGACGTAAATCATCATCTCTCCCAAAGCACTCCCAGTGTAGCACACGTACTGTACCATATAGCCAAGCATATGAACAACAACGATAGCAAGGTAGACAATTGTTTTTTTCCCACTTGATGTATCAAGACGTTTGGAGAGAGGCTCTTGTTGTCGGATAAGGAGTTGGAGGAAACTCTCTTTTTTTCTTGAGAAATGGAAAGAAGACTTGAACATCAGACGCATGTTTCATCTCGCAAATTTAACCATCCGCTTATGGGAGTGGACCATTTTCAGCAAAATGACGTGCAGAAGGAGGCGCTACTTTGCATAAACAAACACGCCTATGAAGTTCTCAACAATCACACACCACAAACCACGATGGTCTCCAAGACAGAGTTCTGGCTGGGGGCAACGTACAAGACAATGTGTTAGTGAGAGATAACAAATAGAAGATACGCAGTTCTCGTCATTCACTGAAGGCAAGACATGAGAATGGAAGTATAAATCTGCCTTAATACGTTAAGACATTGCACACATGTACAGCACATATTCTCAGACAAAGCTCACATATTTTACTGATACTCCAAGCAAAAAGAAGACATTAGTAGTTTTTGGATTAACTACCATGAAATATAATTTCAGTATGGTAATTTACGTCCTTATCTGTACAACCAGCAGGTCAACAATCTTTTTATTTTGTTTTTGTGAATTAAACTTTTCTTTAATGAATTGCACATTATTAATTCACAGAGTTGTTGCAGTAATTGCTATTTGTTTTATGTTTACTCCAGCCTATTTTGTTCCTTTTCCATTAAGTGTCCCTACTTTCTTTCTCCCCCCACTTTAGTTGCTGCTCCAGTAGTCCAAGCTCCCAGTGTCCCCTTTACTCTAATAAAGTTGTTTCTTTTCAGTCTGAGGCAATGGCCTGAGGACAAATCAATACGTCTGCACATTCAATGAGTGTGTCATTACAAAATACATTTCAAAAGAGCTGATAATTCATTTTAAACAGGGAACGCTCAATGATATATACAATATGGGATTATTTATTTCTTTTTACTGTGCCATAATTTAGCCTTATTTGAACTTAACCATACAGGTAGATTTTCTCTAAAATTACTGGATGTTTGGTTTAAACTATGTTCATTGTGTGATTGTTTTATCAGCATGTTTATTGTAAAATGCATTTACCATAACACATAACCTACTGTTTCTGGATGATCTATGTTTTGATTAAAACCATTAAAATCCCTCCAGTAATAAATTAGACCTTTTGACAACACAGSTGCTTCACAGTTGAGTGTGAAGCAACTGGGATGAGGATTAGGATCTTTAATCTGAGGTTATGGTCTTCAGTCAGAAAAGGGTGGACTTCCTTCTCTGGGTTGGGAGTGACCTACTACATCAAGTGGAGGATTTATATTTTCTCTTTGTTTTATTCACAAGTAAGGGAAGAATGGGGCGTATGATTGACAGAYGGATCAATGCGGCTCCCGTTGGTTCAGCGTTGGGAAGAGGGAGCTGAGCTGCACGGGCAAGCTCTCGTTACCAGTCAGTCTAAGTTCCTTTTCTCACCTATGAACACGAGCTCTGGGTAGTGACCAAACAAACAAGATTGTGGGTACAGGCATTGAAATTAGCGGGCTTTCTCTAAGACAGGGTGAGAAGTTCAGTTGTCCAAGAGGGAGTACAAGTAGGGCCGGTCTCCTCCACATCGAAAGGAGCCAGTTGAGGTGGTGTTGACATCTAGTAATGATGCTTCCTTGGTGCCTCTCTTGAGACTTAGGGAAAAAAAATCATGTCTCTCACCTGGAAAGGGAATCCTCCCAGAAGAGCTAGAAGAGGRAGGCTGTGAAAAGAGATGTCTGGGCCTATTTGCTCAAGCTGCTGCCCCTGTGATTTGACTGTTTGTGATGGGGATGACTCTCAGGTACAGGCCAAGTTTTAACTCAATATTTTTAAAATTAACTGGGTTATAGTGATGTTGGTGTTTCCTCATGTCAGTTGTGTGTGGAGGCCATCTTGAATTGAAGAGACTCCAAATGTTATTCAGTTGTGTGTGTTGTAACCCAGAGATTATGTCCTGAAGATTTCTATAAAATCCATTTGGTGGTTCACAAGATTTTTCATTAAAGAGAGCGAAAAGAACCCACCAGTAGTATTTGTCCACCTATTTCCTTTCAGAGGTGGTTGATAATAATTGATGATTAGATTTGGGATTGGTTGATTTTTGCTAAAWATATATATATCCTTTTTCAAAGATCTTTTCAAATTTGTATGAGATAAATTGATAGATGACATATTTACCAAAACACACCCACTTGTATAATTACATTTAAAAGGCTTAGTATCATTTTTAGACAATAAGATTTAAATTCACAGAAGTTTGACCATCCCAAAACAACTTGTAATCAGTAAAATGTGTCACAAATGAAAGGATTAGCTTTTAAAAAACAAAAACCTAATCACATATATTTCTGTCAGTGTCATTTATTTGGATTTGTATTTGGTTTCTTTAAAAAATGAGGAAAAAAGCTTTTGCCTTAAAGTTAATAAAATCTGTTTTAAATAATGATCTTGTTTTCAGCCACTGGCAGCTGACTAACTCACATCCTTTGACTCACTGTGCAGAAAAAAAAAGACAAGTATACAGCAAAGCACGGACTTGTACTGGCACTATGTCCGCACACGTGTGACTCGACTGATCTTTAACAAACAGGGAATACTTCACTGCGCTCCGTCTCTGGTGAACTTAGATTTCGTGCCAAAAAACAGCTGGATTTA